AATCGTAAAGAGCGCTAATAATAGATGGATGTTTTCGTCACCTCTACAACCGAGTTTATGCAGCAGGTGTTGCCGAGATTGACTAAGCCTGTGACACCTGGCCCATGAAGAGGTGTGAGGGTGCGATCAGCTTCCTGCAGAGTAAGCCACTCACAACTGTACAACCACCTCCGGGTCATGTATACGCCCACATACGCACATTCCGTTTCTCCATTCCAATTCATTCTTTCGTCCAAACACACAGCAATCCCTGATTTATTCATCCATCTGGACTCTCCTCTTCCACCCAACATTCGTTTGCGCACCAAAGCGTCCATCCATTTCCATTCAATTCATAGCTTTCCTCCATCTAATCATTGGCCCTCTTAATTCCAACCCCTTGCAATACCTTCTTCGCAGCATCGTTGAGTCACCCAAAAAATATCAACAGCACAGTGCATCATCAAAGCATAGAGGGCACCTAAAAACAGCACAGGATTTACAGGACAATCAGTCATTAGGCTGAAAAACTAGACTAAGACAAAGTAACGACAACTTGCATTGGGTGTGATTGTGCCTAATTTCACAGCCAGAGGGTACTTCGTACGCTCACAGTGCTTGATCGCATGATTGTTGCCGTTCGAACAGTCCCAGAAGCTTCAACAGCAGCAAATCATTCCGACAGTGAGATTAATCCACAAATTCATTGTTAGATCGCATTTATGAGCTGTAAGACCGCTGAAATGACGTCCATTGATAGATGAAAAGCAGTTCATACACCTACAAGCATTCCCATATCTACTGTAGAGGCTAGCATTTCGCCTGCGCTCTTGACCAATGAGCCTGCACATCTGCGAAGAAGCAGAGAAATGTGTTGATCTACAATACGGTATCATTTGTTACATTCTTCACTACTCCCACGCTATGTTTGAACCCACATTAAGTGTCGGTTAAAGGAAAGTGATGCAATCGCACAGTGTGACTCTTGTATTCCATCGTTCAAGTAAAGACCCAAATGGTTGTCTGTTGCAGGCTAAAAAGGTGTGATAACAACACCATCGTCTCGCCTGAAACAGTCAAGAGTGGTCAATATGTTGGAAGAAGCTGTACTTCGTATCCCTAAAACAAAACGCAAAGCAAGACCTCACATCTCGCGCGTGGTACTTCATGCAAACCTCCAGTAACTAGAAAGAGCAAACACATATGGAAGTCTATTCCACCACATGTTACCAATGAGAATGAATCAGCGAATAGAGCCTGAATTCCAGTGCATTCCTATTGAAAGAAACGGAAGGCGACACTTAAAATAGCAAATGCAGAAGCGCTGTTTAACGTTCGAAACTGGGGTCTGTCTGACTGGACATGTCATCACGACACCCCAGTCACCGTGTTGCTTAAACAATGACACCAATCGTGGTACTGGGCTTTGCAGGTTTATCATCTTTAAAACCTACATATATTTCCAAGCATCATAATCCGGTCACAGAAACTAATTTAGCCAACAAAATAAATGAAATTGCAGCAATCGCATCTGCATATACACACGCGGAAAATTGAGGGAACCGCATGAAATCCCAACTCACATTTGGCCCTAAATACTTCAACAATTTCGTTTTGC